TGAAAGGAAATTTAATAGAATGCTCCTCTGCAAATTCTAAATGGAGTTAAGTGTGTAAAGAGTAGGTGGGAGTAGGTTCTGGTATGAAGACCTGCTAACCTTTGTAGCGACATTTGAACCTTTACACCTAGGGCTGTGTGGTGGGAGGTGGGCCCAGGCCAGGTCTCAGCAGAATTACCAACATCCTCCAGTGTCGCAGACAGGCGCCGGGGCAGACAAGATTTCTCAGAACATGTCGGAGTCACCACCAATGCTTTTCTTTTGAGAGTGACCATCGTCGTAGGCACTCAGAAACGTTGCGTTTCGAAGGGTGGACCTACAAATCTGAGTTATCCAAGTGCTTGGGTCTTCACTGGAAACAAAAAGACACTCTGATCTCTCAAACTGCCTAATTTGATTTTATCAGAAATTTATATATACAAAAATTTCCCCATAGGCTGAGAACTCTGCTGAGAAACCTTAGCCCAGAGTGTAATTAGCCCGAGAGAATGATCAGCATCGGAAAATAAAACTGCATACGATAAAGCGTCCTAATTATGGTGGTGGTGTCAGTTATTCACCCGTAATGCCTGTGTGTTTATCCCATCATCTCGTCTGGTAATGACCGTGACCAGGGCGATACTCCCTCGGTGTTGCCCAGTAATGGGCGGTGGAGATGGCGTATCTTTGCCTTAATTTTTGCTGGCACATCCTGGCATTGAAGCACATTAAAGTAATAAAATCAGGAAGCAAGGCGTCCTAGTCACTCCCGCCATGTTCCGGTAACCCCCTCATTTACAACAAACCGAGACAGAGCAATTTAAGGTGAGGCAACACTGGATGCGCAAATCCTCTTTTATGGCCAGTCGTGGCGGCTGGCTGATTCTTCTAAAATGCCTGACAGCCTTCAGACCAGCACCCAAGCTGGGTCAAACAATTCTGTTTGAGGATCACGTGGGTGGGAAATGTACAAAGGCGACTTTCATCACTACCTTCTGGACTGTGGGCGTTGTGCCTTGCGGACCATCATTCCACCTTCCAGGTTCTGTGTTAATTCCCAGTTCCAGTTCTGGGAAGGAACCTGTTAAGAAGGTGAAGTTTTTACCTGGCTGGATGACACAGGCCATTTTTAGGTTTTAAAAGATGAGTTGCCCCTCCCTCCCTTTTTGTTTCTCCTTAAGAAGGAGCTACCAGGGTTCAGGAAAAGCTGAGAACAATTTCACGGGAAAACACTGGCTTGAGTCTGAAACCATGAAAGGGACAGAGCAGCTAGGCAGAGAGACCCGTGCAGGGTAGCTGTCCTCCAGATGCCGTAGAAAGCAGCGGGTCCCAGGCACAGAGCTCTTGGGCAAAGCCAAGACGCCCTGGCTCCTCGGGGATCTTGCCCCATTCAGCATAGTTATAAGAGGATTCCAGAGGTTAGAGACACAAGAGAGAAGGAGAAACAAAATGGCCTGACTCTGCAGAACTTACCTCAGGCTTGACTGAGCTTAGTGTAACCACTGTAAAAATAAGAGGTTTAGAAGCTGTGGAACAAGTTAGGACTGGCCAAAATACGTGCCTTTGTGTCCTTGAACTTTCATCTCCTTCGCCCCCTTTTCTGGCGTGACTCTGCCCAAACCTGCAGTGGTCAAGAAAGCACAATGATTTAGGAGGGATCCCCAACAACAAGCTGCTCAAAGTTTTATGTGACTGAGCTCTGTGCTGATGCTTGCTCCAGGACACAGCTGAGAGGAGACTGGGCAGCCTTCAAAGGGGCTGTGAGGCTATGGGTCCCTCCGGCAGGGTGTGGCCTCAGGCAGCCACAGGGCCATCTGCAGGGGTCCTAACTGTCACATCCCTAATCTGTCACAGACACCAGGCTGTTCAGTCGCTCACTTGTGTCCGACTCTTTGCTCCTCCAAGGATTGCAGCATGCCAGGTTTCCCTGTCCTTCACTATCTCCTAGAGTTTGCTCAAACTCATGTCCAATGAGTCAGTGATGCCATACAACCATCTCATCCTCTGTCGTCCCCTTCTCCTCCTGCCTTCGATTTTTCCCAGCATCAGGGTCTTCTCCAGTGAGTCGGCTCTTTGCATCAGGTGGCCAAAGCATTGGAGCTTCAGCTTCAGCATCAGTCCTTCCAGTGATTATTCAGGGTTGATTTCCTTTAGGATGGACTGGCGTGATCTCCTTGCAGTCCAAGTCCAAGGGACTCTCAAACATCTTCTCTAGCATGACAGTTCAAAAGCATCAATTCTTCAGTGTTCAGCCTTCTTTTTGGTCCAACTCTCACATCCATACATGACTATTGGAAATACCAGGTGGACCTGCCCATAAATGCTAGAAGGGGGAAGGGAGAGCTGGAGGAGTTGGAGGGGGTGAAGCCAGTGCCCTGAGCTTAGGGGACTCTGAAGTCACTTATCTGAGTCTATTGGTGCCTCTTCATGTATATTAAGTTCACCCATTATCTTTACACTTATGTAACTGGATTTATCAGCTAGAAGTTCTTGCAAGAACCTTCTCATCAACAGATCATCCATTGGGGTGTGATTCAAACCATTCTGTCTTATGCATTAACCGTAACACTGGGCCAGTCTTATCTCTTGTCCAAGGTGGGGCTGAGGCCCTGGACTGCCAGCATTATGTTACCTTGGCAAACTTAAAAATTCAGATCTCTGGACCCCATTCAATACCTACTGAATCTGACTCTATTTTTTTAAATGAATACTTTTGCTTCATTTTTTTAATTGGAGTAAAACATGCAGTAAAGGAAACAAAGCTTAATTAAGACTGTCAAGGTGAGTATACCCACCATGTTTCCATCACCCAACTCAAGCTGTGGAGTATTTCCACCACCCCAAAGGCTCCTCCCACCCTTTCCAGAAAATACCCAGCTGCCAAAGGCAGCTCTTCTGACTCCCATCACCCAGTTTTCCTGTGTTTGGACTTCACCTGCATTGGCCTCTCCTAAAGGACCCTCGAGTCTGGTTTCTTTCCCTCCACGTTACGTGTGTGAGATTTATCCACATTGTGGTTTGTAGTGATAGCTGTTTTTTTTCTACTGTGGATGAGTGTGGGGTGTAGTGTGGGGTAGTATAAGAGTATGCATGCTAAGTTGCTTCAGTCGTGTCTGACCCTTTGTGACTCTGTGGACTGTAGCCCACAAGGCTCTTTTGTCCATGGGATTCTCCAGACAAGGAGACTGGAGTGGGTTGCCATGCCCTCCTCAGGGGATCTTCCCAACCCAGGGATCAAAGCCACATCTCTCACATCTCCTGCATTGGCAGGCAGGTTCTTTACCACTAGTGCCATCTGGGAAGCCCGTATATGAGTATGTGAGTGAAGTCGTTCAGTCATGTCTGACTGTTTGCGACCCCATGGACTATAGCCCACCAGGCTCCTCCATCTATGGAATTTTCTAGGCAAGAGTACTGGAGTGGGTTGCCGTATGAATATACTACCATTTATTTATTCATTCTACTCTTGGTGGTGTCTGAGTTGTTTCCACGTTTTGGCTATGACACTAAAGCTGCTAAGAATATTCATTTAAGTGCTTTTTGTGCCCCTAACACTCATTTCTGTTGGGAGTGGAATTGCTATGTCATAGCATAAATGCATGTTTATTTTGGATAAATAATTGCCAAACAGTTTTCCAGAGTGGTTGCACCAATTTGCGCTCTCACCAACAGTGGATGGGGAGTCTGCTGCTCCACATTCTTGTCCACACTTGATATTGTCTAAGCTTTTCATTTTAGCCATTCTGGTATGTGTGTCATTGAATCTATTGTGGTTGTAACTTGCGTTGCCCTGTTGGCTAACGATGTTAAGAACCTTTTCACATGCTTGCTGGCCATCTGGGCTTCATCTTTGTGAAGAGGCTGATCGAGTGTTTTTTAAAACTGAGTTTGGGGTCTCTTATCAACTCTTCATTTGTAGGAACAGCTTGTTATGAACAACCTCTCCAGGTGACTTAAGAAATTCATGCCAGAGAACTACCTCTGAAGAATTTCTTAAGATGTTCAATTTTCTTGAGGCATCTTTTTTCCTTTCTTCAATTCTCAAACCAGCAGTTGACTTTCTCCCTTTCTGTTATTCAGGTTATAGATTCAGTGCTTTCCTCTCAATTCCCTTTGGACCGCAGGTGGCATAAATGGACTTCCCGGCTTAAATATGGCTATTTCTGTCATCGGAGCCCGGCTGAGTCTCCTGGTCTTTCTGGCAGCATTTTGTTAGCGCTATAACCCTGTTGGGTGGAGAAAGATGGGAAGAGGAAGAAGAGTTTGGGAACTGCCCCAGGAGGACAAAGGCTACGGCTCCCCTCTCTTCTCTAACATCTGCCTTTCTTTTCTCCTGGAAGCCCACAGAAGGGAGGTCGTCTGCTCGGTGCTCTGTGCCTGCGTCCGGGTACATGTGTGTGGATGTGACCCGCTCAGGTTATCAGGGAGACGTTGTTTCCCCCTGTCTTCCTACCCTTCATATCAACTGAACAATCTGCCGTCTAAGTACAAATGCTCCCCAATGGAGGAGGGGACCTAAACATTTTACAGTGTCCCGGGGTCCTAGAACTCATAGGAGCCAGCCCTCGTTCCAGAGATGGAAACAGTAGAGAATGCTGGGGATCATGTCCCAGTGGGAGAGTCTGCTGATCTTTTTTTACAAATGGTCACCCTGGCAAGAGAGGTGTGTCTCTTCTAAAGAGGATCAAGAGATGGAGGGAGGGGAAGAGTATGTCTTTTTTTTTGCCTTTAGTAATAAAGGGCGTTCCCTCTGGCTGCTCTTTTCCCTCTGAAAACCTCTATTTAGAGGCCCTGAGTGGCAGGAAGTGGTGAGGAGGTGGAAGGAAGGCAGAAAGCTCAGCCAGTGTGTGTGTCCTCCCCGCCGACACCTCCCAATTGGAGGCTGGGGGAAGGGACCTCAGAAGGCTACTTATAGTATCATCACTGTTAACAAACATTCACCATGATTTTGTGTGCGTGCAGAGTCTGGCATTTGTAATTGTGAGACTGGTTCTGAAGAAGATCTCCTCTTCCATTTGCAGGCAGGCTGTGATGGTGAGAGTATTGGAAATTGCCCATTTTCTCAGCGTCTCTTTATGATTCTCTGGCTAAAGGGCGTTATATTTAATGTGACAACAGTGGACTTGAAAAGGTAAGACCAGGTTTCTGCAGTATTGAAATAACTATTCTCAATTCCCTATACACACAGGCACACAGAGAGACACCCAGGCAGACACATACAGACACACAGACATACAGACACAGGCGCATACACAGACCCAAATACAGACACAGACACACATGTACACACACTCAGACAGAGACACACAGAGACAGACACACACAGAGGCACCCAGAGACACAGACATACAGGTACGTGCACACCCACACAGAGATGGAGACACACACACAGACATACAGACACAGGCACATACACAGACCCAAATACAGACACAGACACACACATACACACACTCAGACAGAGACACACAGAGACAGACACACAGAGGCACCCAGAGACATAGACACACAGGTGCGTGCACACTCACACAGAGATGGAGACACACACACAGACATACAGACACAGGCACATACACAGACCCAAATACAGACACAAACACACAGATACACACATACACAGCACTCAGAGACACACAGAGACAGACACACACAAAGGCACACAGAGACACAGACACACAGGCATGCATGCACACACAGATGGAGACACAGACACACAGACATGCAGACACAGGCGCATACACAGACACAAACACACACAGACAGAGACACACAGAGACAGAAACACACAGGTACGCATGCACACTCCTAGGACCCATGGGCCCTGTCCCAGGCATGTCCACCCTGGGTCAGGACCCTGGATTGGAGCGATGTACGTGGGCCACAAAGTCATTACAGGATGGGGTCAGAGGTAACCCGAAAGGAGTAGGAGGAGGGGAACCGGGGGACCTGCCCACCCCATGATTGGTCAGCTGTGACCCTCTCTGGAGCCTGCCTGAGCCCCCCTCCTGGCTAATAACACTGGGGAGGGTTAACGTTCAGCCCCGTCTCCAGATAGAGGAGAGGAAAGTGTGGCCACACCTCCCTTGCCAGTAGGACAGTTTGTAAACTTCCAGTTGCCTTTGAAGTTCTCAAGGGTCGTTTCTCTTCCACTGGTGTGTGTATGTGTGTGGGGGGGGCATGGTTAAGCCTTGTCAATGATCCCAACCTTGGCACTGCCCTTCCCCCCTGCCCAGGAAACCCGTGGACCTGCAGAACTTGGCTCCCGGCACCAACCCACCTTTCATGACTTTTGATGGTGAAGTCAAGACAGACGTGAATAAGATCGAGGAGTTCTTAGAGGAGAAACTGGCTCCCCCAAGGTGGGCCTCATCAAAACCTGTGTTGGCAACTTGGTTGTCACTTTTCCCTGTTCACAGACAGTTCAAAGCTGTTGGTGCTGTGTGTTGGTTTTCTGCGGCTGTGGCGCTTACCTCCTGAGCTGTACCTGTGGGGTGCCGCAGGAAACACAGCGAGATTAGAAACCCTGAGTCTAGGTGGCTGGGATTTCTCTTTTCTGCCATTTGGCAATTAGGGTTCGATGGCAGGGAGTGGGCCGATGTCACGTGGGTAGCCCGTTTTGATGGCCCATTGGGAATGTGTGTTAAATGCAACATCGCAGCAGGCTGGGCCTGCAAGGGAGCCTTCTAGTTCATCATCTTTATTTCAGTAGGGAGAGAACCGAGACCAGCAAGGCCAGGGGGCCCTCCGTCCTAGGATGAGAACAGTCCATCCAGTGCTTTAGTCCTGGCTGGGGTCGCTCCCAACTTTGTAGATGGAAATATTAGGAAAACATTTAAGGAGCAGTTTTCATTTTTATATCTGCACAGAGAAAGGCATTTCTTCCCCTCCTGCTTTGTACTCTAACTCAAACATTGCTGATCTGTGATATTCTCACTTTGAACTTTTCAAGGTACCCTAAGCTGGGAACCCAACACCCTGAATCTAACTCTGCCGGAAATGATGTGTTTGCCAAGTTCTCAGCATTTATAAAAAACACCAAGAAGGATGCAAATGAGAGTGAGTCCCTCCCATCTTCCTGTTTTCTGTTTTCTCCATGGACCTCTATTCCACCTCTGGTGTGGCTTCTTATAAGATCCGGGGAATTCTGACTCACTGCACAGCGGGGAGGGACCTGGGTATAGAAATAAGGGAGAAATACCTCCCACCCTGAGCCTGCACATGGGTTTCAGGGACTGAGTGCTTTTCTAGAGATTGTCCAGAAAAGGACATTTTTAGGAGAAAATCATCATCATCAGTGATTCCTTGCTGTCCCATGTAATTCAGGGTGAATGAACCTTCTATTGGTGCTTCTTTCATTATATGATTTCCATAAAGATTTTTTTTTAATTTTTTAAAAAAGGTTTTGGTCACATGGTGTGGTATGTAGGATCTTAGTTCCTTGACTCTGCATTGGAAATGCAGAGTCTTCTTTAGTTTTTTTATTTTTAGTTGGAATGTAATTGCTTTACCATACTGTGTTGGTTTCTGCCGTACGTCAACATGAATCAGCCACAGGTATGCACCTGGCCCCTCCCTCAGAGCCTCCTACCTCCCACCCCATCCCACCTGGAAAGCACAGTTCTGTTCAGTCGCTCAGTCCTGTCTGACTCTTTGCAATCCCATGGACCGAAGCATGCCAGGCCTCCCTGTCCATCACCAACTCCCGGAGTTTACCCAAACTCATGTCCATTGAGTCGGTGATGCCCACCATGAAAGTTTCTCCATATAGATTTTTCAATAAATGAATGAGTTCTAGAAGCAGCAGTGTTGTGTAGAGAGAGCAGAATTATTTTCCAGGGAGAAGTGAATCTTTTATTTAGATCTCATAAACCCACCTGTCTCCTTCCTGACTCTCTAACACTCACTGGCCGTGTCTCATGATATCTAGAGAGAGGAGGGCAGGAGGAGAAGGGGATGACAGAGGATGAGATGATTGGATGGCATCATTAACCCAATGGGACATGAGTTTGAGCAAGCTCTGGGAGTTGGTGAAGGACAGGGAAGCCTGGTGTGCTGCAGTCCACGGGGTCGCAAAGAGTTAGACACGACTGAGTGACTGAACAACAACAAAGAAGAGGAGACATGGACTTCCATGGCTCATCTTAGTTGTTTTCTGCCTTCCTATTTTAGTTTATGAAAGGAACCTGTTAAAGGCCCTGAAGAAGCTGGATAGTTATCTGAACAGCCCCCTGCCTGATGAGATAGATGCCTACAGCCCCGAGGAAGCTGCTATTTCTGGAAGGAAGTTCCTGGATGGCAATGAGCTCACGCTGGCTGACTGCAACCTCTTACCCAAGCTCCACATTATTAAGGTTTGTCCTTCCTCGTACCTCGGGTGCTGAATACATGAGTGGGGCTTTGTTTCATTTTGCTTTGATTTGTGTTTTTGGTTTTTTTTGCCAAGGCAATCTAAAACACGGGCTCTTAAATTTAAAAGTCTAGCTTGTTTCTGTTCGCAGCAGCCAAGCTGCAAATTTGAGATCTGTGGATGCTATTCTCAGGTTTTCCTCGGAGGGTCTCATGAATCATCTGAGAGCTTGGCTTTCATCCCTCCATCCTCACAGCTTCTTTTTTTCCAGTCTTAACCCCCACAGCCTAAAGACAAGCTCTGTGAAAGCAACTTGAGGGAATACATTGTTTATAACTGGTGTTTCACACTCCAGGCTTAGAGATGGTATGTGGAATCTGCGAGGATTAAAATGTGAACTCGGGAAATTCCCTGGTGGTGGTCCAGTGGTTGGGACTCAGCTCTTTCACTGGGGTGGCCTGGGTTCAATACCTGGGTGAGGAACTAAGAACCTGCAAGCTGAGCAGTGTAGTCCAAAAACAAAAACATCAACCAAAAATCTGAGCCAACCTTGAAAATAAAATGTGAACTCGGTCAATTGTTGGTGATGGGAAGAGTAAGCCTAACCCTGGGATAAGGGAGGAAGTTGGCTGTTAACACCGACCCCTTACAGCTGGTGAGCAGCTGACAGCTCCTTGGCTGGACCACATGCGGCAGCCTGTTTTCCTGGGTGATCGAACATGAAATAAGAGTTGCTGGTCATGTATAATTAGGGTTTAAAGATTCCCTAGACCAGTGGTTCTCCAACATTAGTAGGCATAAGAATTGTGCCTACTAATTTAGAAATGTGCCTGCTCAGGGGGTCCAGTTGTGTCAGACTCTTTGTGACCCTGTGGACTATAGCCCCCCAGACTCCTTTGTCCACGGGATTTTCCCAGCAAGTTTACTGGAGTGGGTTACCATGCCCTCCTCCAGGGGATCTTCCTACCTGGGGATTGAACCCACATCTCCTGCATTGCAGGTGGATTCTTTACCACTGAGCCACCAGGGAAGCCCTTTTAGAAAAGTAAACCCATCAGTTCAGCCCCTGACTTACTAAAATCAGAATTTCTGGGGGTGACTCTGAAATTCAGAAGCAGATGACCCCACCCTTGGTCTCCTTAGTTATGGCTGCTCTCCAAAGTGCCCCATTCTGGCTGTTACTCACAGCTGTTAGTTGTTGTATCATTATCACTGTTGCTATGCCCTTGTTCTGGGGCATCCTTATTATTCAGATCATACCAAGTCCAGAACTAGGTCCTTGGTATAAAGATAGGGAGATGGGAGAGAAGACATAGGGAAATACAAGTCAGTGACCTTGTATTCTAATAATGCATTTATTTGGCATTTTAGTTCAGTTTAGTTGCTCAGTCGTGTCTGACTCTTTGCGACCCCATGGACTGCAGGTTCATGGGGTTGCAAAGAGTCAGACACGACTGAGCAACAGTGGGGTTGCAAAGAGTCTGACATGACTGAGCGACTGAACTGAACTGAACTGGACTGCAACATGCCAGGCTTCCCTGTCCATCACCAACTCCTGGAGTTTACTCAAACTTATGTCCATCAAATCAGTGATGCCATCCAACCATCTCATTCTCTGTTGTCCCCTTCTCCTCCAGCCTTCAATTTTTCTCAGCATCAGGGTCTTTTCCAAGGAATTGGCTCTTCGAATCAGGTGGCCAAAGTATTGGAGTTTCAGCTTCAGCATCAATCCTTCAATGAATATTCAGGACTTATCTCCTTTAGGATGGACTGGTTGGATCTCCTTGCAGTCCATGGGACTCTCAAGAGTCTTCTTCAACACCACAGTTCAAAAGCATCAATTCCCACAGTCTGTGGCATGGCTGTCCTGTGGGTGACTGGCCACCCCATTACTCCAGTCATTCTTTGCCTTTCTCTTCCTTCCCGACTCCATTCCCAGCCTTGTCCTATTCATCTTCTTTCTTCTCTCTTCCCTGATGTGTTCAAGGGGCACCAACCGGAAAGCTCAGCCTTGAGGATGCTGCTGATCCTCCAAGTGAATTTTCTTTTTAATAATTCTGCCAGTGTTCTGACATGTACAGTTTCATGATGGCAACTCTCAATCCTTCAAACCCGCCACATTGGTGATTATCTAAACCGGACATTTGAGAGCCATTTTCCAACAGGTTATTTATGTTGTTGTGTCTGGTTTAGTCCCTTTATTAAACATATTCTCATCATTGCTCTGACTAATGTAACATCACAGAAGCACATGGAGTTTAGGGAAGGCAAGAAAAAGACACACACATGCATACATACACAGACCAGTTGCCACTTGTTTAGCTCCTATAAAAAAAGACTGTTTAAAATGTCAGTAGAGGGGATAAACTTCAGAGTAAAATAAAGTAGTCCATGGCTCCAATAGAAGACCTAACTGCAAAATCTTCAAAGCCACTTAGCACTCAAAATACCCAGCAGCTTAATAATCTTCCAGAATGGAGCAGTTCTGAAAGGCAATGAGAATCAATCTACAGGAATTTATGGTAAGACAATGAGAGAATAGAGGACTTTATAATCTATTCCCATCCTGAAACCAGCAAAAACATTCTGAAAATCTAAAGCATTATCTCCACCTTTATTTCTTTTTGGCTGCATTGGGTAGCACCTGGGACCTTGGTTCCCCATCCAAGGATTGAATCTGTACCCCCTGAATTGGAAGCTCAGAGTCTTAGCCACTGGACCACCAGGGAAGTCCCTCTCCACCTTTTGTAAAATTAGAAAAGGATGGACCACCAACTCAAGACTTAGACACTAGCTTCTCTAGATCTTCAGCAAGGTTCGGATGTCTGTAAAAGTAAATAATACAGCCTTGAAGTGCCCAACTCAGAGCACTGAGTGGGGCAAGAGAGGCAGGGACCAGCCCTACGGAGATGAGATCTCTGTGGAGATAGAACTGAAGGTGAAACTGTTCAGAGGTGTGACCTGTGTGTTCTGCCACTGTCCCCTGACCCAAAGCAACAGGGAGGGGAGATGGAGGGGAGCAGAGAAAGAAAGAGGCATTCTGCTTTGTGACTGCTGAGCAGAGAAAAGAAATAAGTTTGGGATCACTCAGAAGAGAGACTGTAGATGACCTCAGCATCACTTTTAGCCACGGCAACCTCCTCCTAATCTGTGAGCTTCAGAGTGGAGGAGGCACTAACCCTGACTTTGACCTTGACCCTCATGTGTCCCTGGGGCAGAGTATAGAGCAGTGTTTGAAGAGCAGGTGAAAAATGTTAGAGTGTTAGTCGCTCAGTTGTGTGTGATTCTGCGACCCATGGACTCTAGCCCACCGGGCTCCTCCGTCCATGGAATACTCCAGGCAAGAATACTGGAGTGGGCTGTCATTTCCTTCTCCAGGAGATCTTCCTGACCAGGAGTTGAACCTGGGTCTTCTGCATTGCAGGCTGTTTCTTTAGCATTTGAGCCACCGGGGAAGCCCCTTGATGAGCAGGTGTTTGAGGATAAATATCCAAATTGGTCTGCCTGTTGCCTGGCCTTCCTCCCATTGCTCTCCACCTTGCTTTTAAGCAAATAGTAGGTCCAACGGGTCTGCCCATTAAAGGATGGTTAGTAACCAAAAGGAATCCAACTGGGACCTCTATGTGGATAGGAAAGGGGGAAGGGTTAAAAAGAACAAAAGAGAAAAAGGCAGATGAGAAACAACTCTCTGGTTAAGATTGGTCCAGTAACCAAAGAACTTTTCGGACAGATACTTCTCTACAGCCTCAAAGAAATTAAAGAGAACATGAACCCTTCCCTGATGGCTTAGTGGGTAAAAAACCCACCTGCAATGCAGAAGACACAGGAGATGTGGGTTTGATCCTTGAGTTGGGAAGATGCCCTGGAGTAGGAAATAACAACCCATTCTAGTATTCTTGGGTGAAAAATCCCATAGACAGAGAAGCCTGGTGGGCTACAGTCCATGGGGTCTCAAAAGAGTTGGACATGACTGAGCTACTCAGCATAGCACATGAACCTTTGGAGAAAGCTCTCAAAGACAAGTCCCAAAGTGTCAAAAAATATAATCTCGCAAAGAGGATGAAAATGAAACTGGTAGAACTGAAAAAAACCTTAAAGACAAAACAATTTCAGAAATTGTTTAGAAGTTGTATTAGGAGTAGCAAGAGGTGGAAGATGACATTGCAGAAATCCATCAAAGATTTGGAAGACAGCTGGAGGAAATGATCTCAAACAGAATGGAGAAGAAGCAAGAGGTAAAGGTGTACCTAATCAGGAAAAAGAACAGGAAAGAAAAAAAGGGGAAAAAGGAGACTCAAAGGTAAAGCGTTTTGAATTAAAGGATGACCTGAACATTTACTTTAAATAGCAATCCATGATTAGGAAAATATTGTTCTGAACAGTCAACATACTGTGATATAGCTGGTAAATTATATTTGAACTTTGATGATAAAAAAACCCTTTGAGTGCCCAGATGATAATGATAATAGTAATAATAATAAAAGGTAAGTCCACCCACACAACGAAGAAATTCAGAATAGCCTCATATATCTCTAAAGTGAGGTGAAAGTGTTAGTAGCTCAGTCATGTTTGACTCTTTGCACCCCCCTGTCAGGCTACTCTGGAATTCTCCAGGCAAGAATACTGGAGTGGCGCTGACATAAATCAAAGCAAGATCCTCTATGACCCACCTCCTAGAGTAACAGAAATAAAAAGAAAAGTAAACAAGTGGGATCTTATCAAACTTAAAAGCTTTTGCACAGCAAAGGAAGCTATAAGCAAGGTGAAAAGACAACCCTCAGAATGGGAGAAACTGACAGCAAATGAAACAACTGACAAAGGATTAATTTCCAAAATGTGCAAACAGCTCATACAACTCAATACCAGAGAAACAAACAAGCCAGTCAAAAAGTGGTAAAAAGACCTAAACAGACATTTTTCCAAAGAAGACATACAGATAGCTAACAAACACATGAAAATATGCTCAATATTGCTCATTACCAGAGAAATGCAAATCAAAACTACAATAAGCTATCACATCACACAGGTCAGAATGGCCATCATCAAAAAGTCTACAAACAGTAAATGCTGGAGAGGATGTGGTGAAAAGGGAACACTCTTGTGTACTGTTGGTGGGAATATAAACTGCTATAGCCATTATGGAAGATGGTATGGAGATTCCTTAAAAAACTAGGAATAAAAGCACCATATGACCCAGTAATCCCACTCCTATTCATACACCCTGAGGGAACCAAAATTGAAGAAGACACATGTATCCCTTTGTTCATTGCAGCACTATTTACAATACCTAGAACATGAAAACAACCTAGATGTCCATTGACAGGTGAATGGATGAAGAAGTTGTGGTACATATACATGATGGAATATTACTCAGCCATAAAAAGGAATGCATTTGAGTCCGTTCTAATGAGGTGGATGAACCTAGAACCTATTATACAGAGTGAAGTAAGTCAGAAAGAGAAAGATAAATATTGTTTTCTAATGCATATATACAGAATCCTGGTACTGAAGAATTTATTTACAGGGCAGTAATGGAGAAACACATAGAGAACAGATTTATGGATGTGGGGAGAGGGGAGGAGAGGCTGAAATGTATGGAGAGAGTGCATGGAAACTCGCATCACCACAGGTGAAACAGATGGCCAATGGGAGTTTGCAGTATGACTCAGGAAACTCAAACAGGGGCTCTGGATCCACCTAGAAGAGCGGGCTGGGGCAGGAGACGGGAGGGAGGTTCAGAAGGGAGGGGGCACATGCATACCTATGGCGTGAAATTAAAAGATACTCACTCCTTGGAAGGAAAGTTGTGACCAACCTAGACAGCATATTAAAAAGCAGAGACATTACTTTCCCAACATACGTCTGTCTAGTCAAAGCTGTGGTTTTTCCAGAAGTCACGTATGGCCGGGAGAGTTGGAGTATAGAAAGCCAAGGGCCAAAGAATTGATGCTTTTGGACTGTGGAATTGGAGAAGACTCTTGAGAGTCCCTTGGACTGCAAGGAGATCCAACCAGTCCATCCTAAGGGAAATCAGTCCTGAGTATTCATTGGAAGGACTGATGTTGAAGCTGAAACTCCAATACTTTGGCCACCTGATGTGGAGAGCTGACTCATTTGAAAAGACTCTGATGCTGGAAAAGATTGAAGGCAGGAGGACAAGGGGATGATAGAGGATGAGATGGTTAGATGACATCACCGACTCAATGGACATGAGTTTGGATAAACTCTGGGAGCTGGTGATGGACAGGGAGGCCTGGCATGCTGGGATTCATGGGGTCGCAAAGAGTCGGACATGACTGAGCGACTGAACTAAACTGATGGCTGATTCATGTTGAGGTTTGACCAAAATCAACAAAATTCTGTAAGCAATTATCCTTTGATAAAAAAAATAAATTAATTATTAATTAAAAAAGGAAAAGAATACTGGAGTGGGTTGCCATTCCCTTCTCCGTGGGATCCTAGGATCACATTAAAAGCCAGAAAATAGTGGTTTAACAGTTAAAGGATTGGGGACTTCCCTGGTGGCCTAGTGGTTAAGAAGCTGCCTTCCAATGCACAGGACGCAGTTTCGATGCCTGGTTGGGGAATTAAGAGCCCATATGCTTTGGAGCAACTCAGCCCATGTACCCCAACTAGAGAAGCCTGCGTGCCGCAGCGAAGACCCAGCAGAGCCAATAGTTAAAGGATTAAAGGAAAGGGAGTGTGATGTAACAATTTTATATCCAAGTAAATTGTTGCTTTTACCTAGACTTCTGATCTTGATGGAATAAGCACCTCTGAGCCATTTTGTAAAAATAAAATTTCTATATGATGACATAATAAAAAAGGATAATAAAATAAGAATCCAGGAACAGAGAAGGTGTGGTATAAAAGGATTAGTGATAGACATAGGATTTCTTTAGATCTGAAACCAGAACTAAAGCTCAAGAGCAGTGAGAATTATAGCTACAAGACTGAATCAGATATAGTAAACTTCTATTTTCACACCATTGGAAGGAGGATAATAGATCAGAAATGAAAAGAAGTGTAAGTATACTAATTTCCTTGCTTATTATCAGGAGTGAGTAGAGATCAGTCAAAGAACAGTTAATAATCAAGAAATAAAGAATTCCTATTATTTAAAATTATATAGGAAACCACTGGACCCACTCCAATATTCTTGCCTGGGAAATCCCATGAACAGAGGAGCCTGGCAGGTTATAGTCCAGTAGGAGCCACAAAAGAGTCAGACATGACTTAGTCACTAAACAACCACCTCTGGAAGAGTTAATACAGACCATAAACCTTCCAAACCACCAGAGAGGGGAAAACACACATACACAAATGCAAAAATCTTTACAGGAAGTTGGAAAACAAAGTATAACATTAATAAGATATGGTATAAAACAAGTTTATATTTATGAGAGGCACATATGTAATAAATTTACCCAGAATGTTTGGGTAAAGCAAAAGCAGGCAAATGCAAATTAAAGAAAAGCAGGAGTCTTGACATTAATCTCTAGTAAGATTGAATTCAAGTAAAAGATATTAATTTAGGAGGTTCTTTGAAAAGTTATGTGGTCCTGTCTTGCTGCATCATTAGCTCCCTGCTTCCAAAATCTGAGAAATAAGTCATGAAGTTCTTCTAATTGGCGACAAATTCCATGCTCATGTCATCCAAACATCCCAGGGACCAATACAATGGGAGATATCAGTCCTTCCAAGTATTGTTGTTCAGTTGCTCAGTAGTGTCTGACTCTTTGGGGACCCATGGACTGCAAAACGCCAGGCTTCCCTGTCTAACACCGACTCCCAGAGCTTGCTCAAACGCATGTCCATTGAGTAGGTGATGCCATCCAACCATCTCATCCTCTGTCATCCCCTTTTCCTCCCGCCTTCAATCTTTCCCAGCATCAGGGTCTTTTCCATTGAGTCGGCTCTTTGCATCATGTGGTCAGAGTATTGGAACTTTAGTATCAGTCCTCCCAATGAGTATTCGGGGTTCATTTCCTTTAGGATTGACTGGTTTGATCTTGCAGTCCAAGGGATTCTCAAGATTCTTCTCCAGCACTGTAGTTCAAAAGCATCAGTTCTTTGGTGCTCAGCCTTCTTTATGGTCCATTTCTCACATCCATACAGGACTACTGGAAAAACCATAGCTTTGACTATATGCACAGTTGTTGGCAAAGTGATGTCTCTGCTTTTTAGTAAACTGTCTAGGTTTGTCATAGCTTTCCAAGTATTTGTCTCCCCAAATTCGTATCTTAAGTTAGACCCAAGTCCTAATTCCCAGTATCTCAAAGCTGACCTTATTTAGAAATAGAGTTTTTGCAGATGTAATTAGTTAAGATGAGGGCATGTTAGTTGATTAGGAGCAGGAGAGTGGGACCCTAATCCAACATGACAGAGGTTCCTATAAAAGGGAGTTTGGATCCAGAGACTCCAACACAGGAAAAATGCCAGGTGAAGAATGGATCTGTACTCCCGTGAGCCAGAGATAGAGAGAGACCTGGAACAGATCCTTCCCTGGAGGCTTCAGAGGGAACCCGGCCCTGCTGACACCATGATCTTGGACTCTGGGCCTCCAGGACCATGGAAGAAGACATTTTTGTTGTTTCAAGCCACCCACGGTTGTAGTGCTTTGTTAAGGCAACCAGGGAACCCATACCATCTGCAAAGAGGATACACCCTCCTTTGTGATGAATTCCCCGTGACACCCTCCAGCCAGAGGAGCCATCTCACACCACTGTGTTTTCGTGATATCCATTCTCAGCTACCCCATCCTTACATCCACTGTTTCCTTGAGGATAAGGATTTTTCAGTTCATGAATCTGCCCTCTGCACATGGTAGACCCACAGTGAAATGATCTTCTCGGGCAGAATGATGGAAATCCACAGGTGTAACATACATGGGTACTTGGGGTTTCAGGAGGTGAGGCTCAGCAAATAGGAAAAAGAGAGGGCACTACAAAGTGATCCTGGCACAATCGAAACTGAAAATCCATCCCGAACCTTTGAAAGTGAAAGTGTTAGTTGCTTAGTTATGTCCAAATCTATGAGATCCCATGGATTGTCTCCTCTGTGGGATTCTTTAGGCAAGAATAATGGAGTGAGTTGCCATTTCCTTCTCCAGGGGATCTTCCTGACCCAGGGATTGAACCCGGGTTTCCTGCACTGCAGGCAGACTCGTTACCATCTCAGCCATCTGAATCTTTAGGCACCAAATAACTCAGCAGCGGAACACAGGGAGAGAAAACTACTAGAAGCACAAAGAGAAAGCCACCAGATTACAGAGCAAGCTCAGGACTTTCCTGGTGGCTCAGATGGTAAAGAATCTGCCTGCTAGTGCAGGAGATTTGGGTTCAGTACCTGGGTCAGGAAGATCCCCTGAAGAAGGAAATGGTGACCCACTCCAGTATTCTCGCCAGGGAAATCTCATGGACAGAGGAGCCTGGTGGGCTGCAGTCCATGGGGTCATGAAAGAGCTGGACACGACTGAGCGACTGGACAATAGAGCAGATTCGTGCCAGCAGGTCACGAGGGCCATCTGTGATGAACGGGTGGGCACAGTTGTGTAGCACCTCGGTTTTGAGTCCCACGCTCAATGTACCCCCTGCAAACTCATACTGCGATTTGGGCAGCTTGAAAGGCTGTAGATGCCATGGGAACTTGAGAAAGAATATAGTACATGCCTCAGAAGAATGGATTGTCTGATATAACTGCCTACATTTGTGGGCTTTCCCTTTCTGACTGTTTGCTCTTCGTTTTCAGATCGTGGCCAAGAGATACAGAGATTTTGAATTTCCTTCTGAAATGACTGGCATCTGGAGGTACTTGAACAATGCGTATGCTCGGGATGAATTCACAAACACATGTCCTGCCGACCAGGAGATTGAACACGCATATTCAGATGTTGCCAAAAGAATGAAGTGAAGCTGGGCTGTTTTCTGTCTCATTTCTCAGCTGTGTGAGCTAGACCATGAAAAGAATGTCTCCTTTGTGTTTGCCTCCCAGTAACCATTCTTTGCAAAATAATGCCCATACTTTAGCAATGTGGGTACCATAGCATGATCCACTCAACAGGAAATGATTCCTAGCCTTGAAATTTGTCAGCTCACTTGTGTATCTGAATAATACCAGTATCTGTTGTTATATACTCCAATTGTCTGGTTTATGTTCATTTATATCTTTGGCATTCTGGGACCTTGTAATCCATGATATTTAGGGCATGTGTTTTGCAGGTTACGTTTCAAAGAAAATAAGGTTTGGATTCAAACCTTATTTATTATTATTTTTTAAAAAATGTGTTTTTCTCTGACAGTTTTCATAATCATGCATAACCTATTTTTCTGCTCTAAAATGGTAGTTCAACTTTTTAAAAACAAAATAATTTTTATAATTACAAAGTGATACTCGCTTATTTTAATATTTGAAACAAAGTCAGAAGTAATAAAAAAAAAAAGACAAAAGTCACCTAGAATTTCACTACATTTAGATAACTACTGATAGAGTTTTGTTGAGTATCTTCCAAGTCTTCAGACTCTTTCACACACGCATTCACACCACATATAATTTCCTGCCTCTTTGGTATTGTGTTAGTTTATTTTCAAGGACTGGTGAAGGGACCGCCCCCCACTCCCCCTTGGTAATACCTTGATGGTCAGCCCTAGAGGACCTAAAGCAAAGAGATGCGTCACCACGGACCTCAAGAGGGCGCTTGTGGCCAAGTTTCAGAGGGATGGAGAACCTCAGGGTTCACAGAGATGTGAGGACCTGAGAAGACCAGCGGGGACCGGAAGCAGTGGGAGGGTAGCAGGGGCCGGAAACTGTGGGAGCTTCAGCATTGGTCCTTCCAATGAATGTTCAGGGTCGACTTCCTTTAGGATTGACTGGTTATCATTTAGTTCAATTAGAAATTATCTGTATTAGAATTGTGACACGCAAAAAACATTTTAACAGAGCCTTAAAGAGGTCTGAAAAAACGCATGTGACCTGTCCTTGCCCAGGTGGCTGACATACAGGTCTTGCAGATGACTCCATTTTTAAGTGTAGTTGGAAATCTGTTGGTTCCTGGCAGCCTTCCCCTCCCAGGGACCCCAAAAGCAGGCCCCTCTTTGCACGCCTCTCAAAAGCTGTTCTTGTGCTGGCAGGTGAGAAGTATCCCACGGTTGTTCACCTGCCTTAAAGTCTTCTGCAGGCATGGATTTTTGAAACAAAATGCATTTGTTCTTCCAGATATACCATATGTGTGTGTTAGTTGCTCAATCATGTCCAATTCTGTGACCCCATGGACTGTAGGCCACCAGGCTCCTCTGTCCGTGGAATTCTCCAGGCAAGAATTACTGGAGTGGGTTGCAATTCCCTTCTCCAGGGGATCTTCCCCACTCAGGGGTCAAACACAGTTCTCTTGCATTGCAGGCAGACTCTACCATCTGAGTCACCAGGAATGCAAATACAAGTTGTGAGAGCAGCCCTCCTTTGAGGCTGATCCTGGAAGGTTCTTGGGCTAAGGAGATTCTGTTTTTGGTTTTAGTTGCCCAAGAGGCTGGACAATTCAGAAAAAATTAACTTTACTTCTGAACACAGAATCTCCAAGTGTAGGCTGAAAAAGAATATGAGTGCCACAAAGGTGTACTTTCTGAGCATGGTCTAGCAAACAAGGATGCAACCTGTTTAGCCCGGGAATGAACCTTCTGAGACCAGAGGTCTCAACAGGTTACCTGTGAACTACAGGACTATCCCCAGGAATTGAGTATATGCCCAAGCCCCCACAGACAGACACAAATGCACATACCACATACATGCACACTCATGTACACACACACACACATGTTCACACACACTGACAGCATGGTCACAGAACTCTTTCACACCTGTTCAAATGTTAGGAGAAACACACTGACTGAAACCACCCCCCTTGACCAGGTACCACAGTAACCATCTGCTTGAGATATTTTATGAGAGGACGTCCTGGTGAGGAACACAGAACTAATAAGCCACCACCAATCGGAAGAATTCAGGCAAGGTCAAAAGGAAATGCCACATGTCTGACCACCTCCCAGAATCCTTTTCACTGGCGTCCACCTTGGCCGAGCAGTGCGCGCGCCACCAGGAAGGACTCTGAGTCAGAATGATTGGCCAAGACAACCCGGAAACGAATCCCATCACCCTGAAACCCGAGACTGCAAGCCTTGCGGCAGAGCAGGTTGTGGCTCCCTTAGCCGGCTGCTCTCCACTGGAGCACCCCTTCCCAATAACATCTCTTGCTTAGTCAGCACATGCGTTCTCCTTGGACAATTCATTTCTGAGTGTTAGACTCAGAAATGCAAATGAGAGCCCACTCTCATGCCCTGGAAGGGATCCCCCTTCCTGCAACACAAACACACAAACACATTCACACACATCCCCATAGACACACACAAGCATACTAACTCATGCAATACAGTCACACACACTCACTCATGTACCCACATATGTGCGTGCGTGTGCACACACACACACACACAACCTGTAAGGTGAGGTCCGGGTTCCTTCCTTCCCTGACCAGATAACTGACCAGAAACACACTTTTGGCAACATTCCACCCAGGTCTCCTTCCCCACCTCCAGTGGTTCACTATTAGGCTTTGGAAAGAACTCCCAAGCTTTCTTTTACAGTTAAGAGAACTAAGGTGTGCATCGTCCGAAGAACATGTAATTCACAAAACCCTGATTACTTAAGATGGATTAGTTAGAGGATGTTTGTTCACGTTATAGTTCTGAATTCTTCCTGGAAGCCTATGGAACTGACACAAAAACCGAGTTTAGCTGCAGCTGGGGCTTCCCTGGTAACTCAGACACTAAGGAATATGCCTGCAATGCGGGAAACTTGAGTTCGATCGCTGGGTTGGAAAGATCCCTGAAGAAGGGAATGACTACCCACTTTAATATTCTGGCCTGGAGAATTCCATGGACGGAGGAGCCTGGCAGGCTACAGTCCATGGGGTCACAAAGAGTCGTACATGACTGAGTGACTTTTGATACACACAAAATGCCCAGGTTGAGGTTTGTGACCTGCGGGGAGGCCCAGAGCCTAGACCTGCTGCTGAGCCCTGGGCAGTGTTGTCCCATACGGCTGTTTCTGGCCGTGTGCGCGTGTGCTAAGTTGCTTCAGTTGTGTCCAACTCTGCCACCCTAAGACTGCAGCTCACCAGGCTCCTCTGTCCATGGGATTCTCCAGGCAAGAATACTGGGGTTGTTGCCATGCCCTCCTCCAAGGGATCTTCCCGACCCTGGCATCACACCTGTGTCTCTTATGACTCCTGCCTTGGCAGGCAGGTTCTTTACCACTAGTGCCACCTAGGAAGCCCTCTTTCTGGTCGTACCATATGCCAAAGTATTTGAAAGCTACATAGGAGTCTCTGAAACACTTGTACATAATTTCCCAACAGTGTGGACTACACTTAAAAGATGCAAAAGAATCACACAGGTTACTCTACCAAGGTTATTTGCTTCTTGTTTTTAAAATCTTTGACAAGGTGGAGGTGTAGAGGCCTGTTTGCGGGGTTCCTTTTCCTACTGATCTTGGGCTCTCTCAGGACTGGAGACAAGAGGAAGGAGAAATGGATTAGGGAGGTGCCTAGAATTCTAGGAGAGAGAGCAGCAGGATCTGTCTTGCCTCCATCATAATTGTTCAACTTTTGTTTGTAGCTCACTGGTCCCAAAAGAGTGCTGTTTGAAAGAAAATTTTAGGGTTATTTGGTGGTGGTTCAGGTGTTGAGCAGGCCATTTTGGTGTGTATTTTGGCTTTCTTTTTTCCCCTGGCTAACGCAAGGGAAAAAAGAATTTGTTCTATTGGGTGTGATACCAGAATACACAGAAATTAAAAAGAAGAAAAAATGTGTCTTGCTTTTATAAACTGTGCAGTGATAATGACAAAATAGAACAGCACCAGAAAGATGCCTAAGAACACATGTAATAGGAAGCAAATGAGTGAGTGGCAAAGTGCACACCTACCAGGTTCCTGAGGCGACGCTACCATAAATGATGTAATAGAGTGACCAGGTGCATTTGGGTGGCACTTTACAAAGCCTGGGCCAGTTTGTGGTCCCATAAGTCATGGGTTTGCATTGGAAATTGAGGTGGATATGGTGACCACAGCGAGGTGGCTGCCATCTTGCCTCATGGTCCTTGAGGGTCTTTACTGGATTCTCTTCTAGGTGGCACTAGTGGTAAAGAACCCGCCTGCCAACACAGGAGACATGAGAGACGTGAGTTCAATTCCTTGTTTGGGAAGATCTCTTGGAGGAGGGCATGGCAACCCAGTTCAGTGTTCTTATCTAGGGAACCCCAGGGACAGAGGAGCCTGGGGAACTATAGTCCGTGGGGTCGCAGATTCCGGCACGACTGAAGGGACTTCGCACGCACACACATGCTGTCATGAGTGGGGCATGCTGGCCACCGTGGTGACGTTGTTCTGTCAACTCTGGGGGCCTTGTACCATCTGGAGAGAGCAAGACACTCCTGTCAGAATCAGAGCTGGGCGGTAGCGATGCATGGATGGGATTGGGAAGCGGGGGGGTGGCTGAGGTTTGTCTGCCTCACGTCTCTCATCTGAAAACCAAGCAGTGGGCTTGATTGCTGGGTTTCAACCTTGACGGCATATTAGAACCAACTGAGTAGCCTTAATCACAATAAGTGCTCAAAGCATGCCTCAGATCAACTGAATCTGAATCTCTGGGTTTGGGCTTGGACTTTGGTGTTTTCAAAACTCCCTTGGGGAGATTCTCTTATGCAACAGCCACAGGTCAGATGCACTCTGAAGTTATTTCCAGCATTAACTGTCAATGTTTGGGTCCTGGGTTACACGTCCTGGTGGGGGAGTGGGGAGGGGGGAGGAGGACGGAGGGGACTGCCCATACTCAATAGAGTAGCGTATGCTCTGCACTCAGAGCAGTTGACTGAGCCAGCCACAGGAAAAGTGAAACTGAAAGTCTCTCAGTCGTGTCCGACTCTTTGTGACCCCATGGATTATATAATCCGTGGAATTCTCCAGGCCAGAATACTGGAGTGGGTAGCCTTTCCCTTCTCCAGGGGATCTTCCCAACCCAGGGGTCAAACCCAGGTTTCCTGCATTGCAGGTGGATTCTTTACCAGCTGAGCCACAGGGAAGCCAGTGGTTGAA